GGAAAGTGCACAGAAGCTAAGCAAATAGTTTAGGTGAAAGCAGGTGGGGCGGGCCAAAGTGAGTGCGGCATAATCACACATCATTTGTCAAAGCCTCTCGACTGCCAAGGAGATGTGTTTCCCTCAATGATCCCGAATTTCTGGCTTCCCAGAGTTCAGTAATCAGAGGAATGCAGAAGCAGAATGTTTTCTGCATCGCACCTAGCCACAAAATCAAGCCGAATTAATTTGTCAGTGAATCCTGTGGAAGGAAGGAGGAATTGGCACTGGAAATTATTATGAGCTCGGGTGCCCCCATTGAGGGCAAAGTGACGACAATGCGTCCAGACGGGCCATAAAAAGGACCTTCCTGCCTGCAGCAATAACTCAGCCGATAATCATAATAAAAGAGCAAGTAAGTATGCAGTACGGAAAATAAAAAGCGAGGAGAACTAAGGCGAACCGCGGCCGGAGAAAGTCAATTTGTTAAGCTGCAGCCAGGAGCAGGATCTAAGAAAAAAAAAGGCAGGGAAAGGACCTCGGCAGGACAAAGGAAAATGTGTAAAAGTGGGACGCAGAATATGCTCCACAAAAAGAGACAACGTCTTGCCTGCACAGAGAGAAATCATTTAAATATATCATCTGCATGTAAGATTTTCTTGGTAAAAAATTTCTTTTTTAAAAGTATCCAAAGGGAGTTAAACAATTTTGTTCAATTCAATTTGTTCAAACCAATTTTATAATTATCAAAGTATTTTTAAATTTCGGTTTAGCATTCCTTTTCAAACATTTGTATATATTTTTGATATTTAAGAAATGCATATAAGGATCAAACTTAAATAATTTTTTGAGCTTATACCTTTCTTTTCTTTCTGTGTGCTGAAAAGCTGAAGAAGGCGGCGGAACTTTCCCCTCACTTATTTTATTAGAATTAAATTGATTTCTTGTGGCGGCATAAAAGGGAAGGGCAAACTGCGTCGACGACAGGCGTTGGCTGGCATCAAAATTAATATAAAATGAAAAGTTTTGAAATTTATTACAAATTGAATTGATTTATGCAGCGCGCAGCGTTGGGAAAGGAAGGTGACAAAGTGGAAACTTTTCCTCGGTCCCAGTCGAGAAAATTAAATCGGAATGGCGGAAATTTTTATGCAGCCATCGCGTTAATCAGATAAAAGGGCACAGCCTCAGTTTCGACCTCATGCGAGGGCATGAGTTTGTCCTGCGGCCTGAAAGTTATGCGACCTCACGCAGCACACAGTCAGCGCCATACTTATATGGCCCGCCGCCCCGCACATGTGTGCATTATGGCAACGGTCAAAGGTAAATAACAGCAGCGGCAATAACAACACGTTGAAATGGTGAAATATTGGACATGCCGCAGTTGCATGCAATTAAAATAACACTTGTTAAAATATTTATTTTATGTGGGAGGAAAATCAGAGGTGAAAAAATGTACACATGTGCGTGCAATGACAACGCTGACTGTGACAGTTTGAAGTTGCCAGCTATAAACAGATTTAATACATTTTATGTGTACCATTCAAAACTATTTAAATTAAGATGATAAGTACTGTTTTTAATCTAATATTAACCTGTAAACTTCAATACGATATCTTAGTTTAAGACCTGCATTTAGCTTAACTTAATATTAATAATATTAGCACAAATGGATAATAAATACAATTGTTTTAGTTTTGGTCATTTTGAAAAATGTAAGTAGGATTTTGAGGCAAAGCAAACTATCTCTGTTTATAGAAAATTGTAGAAACTGCAACCAGGAATGACCATATCTTAGCTCTTCATATGCATTTCACCATTTTAACATTGCGCTCTATCAATTGTCCACTTCCGCTTGTCACAAACATCCCTCAACAATAATGATAGACTCAAACAGGGCAGAAAGAAAAAAAACTATAACCGGATCTATATGAAAAAACCGGAAAAAGCCATAGGTTTAATTGGCTGAACCAAATGAAAAATTCAATAAAAGTTAATAAAATTGATTTCGCTTAAATAATTTGCAGACAAATCCTTTGTGCACGACGCAATAGTGCATGGCAGAATAATAACGAAATAATAGTAATAGACAACAAAGGGAATCTGAAATTCATTAAATTGGAATTGCTTTATTTGCTCACATTCTTACCGTCACCCAACTAAACTCAATGGAGCAAGGAGCAAAAAAGGACACTCGACCAGGTGAATCAAATGAATTTTGCTTAATTAATTGATTTTAAACATGCAAAAAGCAATTTGCTGTGTTTGCGTTAAGGTTTTGTGTGAATATTTTAAATGATTCGGACATAATACTCAACTAATAGTTGTGCCCACCAACGCATTTTGTCAACAAATGTTTCTGTTTAATATGGCCAACTCAATAAAACAAAAATATGCTTTAGTTTCTAAATTTATTTAATTTATTTTTATTTGAGACTATGAACTTGAAACTGAATCTATAACTGGCGTTAGCGAATGAACAGCAGCGGCAATATAAATCAATCTTTATTGACACAAGTCTGACTTCTTTAGTTACTTTAGTTTAAATTTCGAAAAGGCCCAGTTGCGCCTGAATTACCAGGTCCTCCATTATTTCCCGAAATTCTAAGCGTAACCCTCTCAAAAAATTATAGAACATTTTTCAGCTTAGACGACAGTTCTTCAATTTAGTTTTTAGTTTCAATTTTAAACTCCTTAAAGTTTTGTTGATGTTTCAAAGAATTTAATTCTAAAATAATATTTACCGATTTTTCTTGAACCCTTTTCATTGGTATAAGGCAAACGCTCTATGTGTAAACAGCAGCAAAAAGCATATTTTATTATTTTTATTATATGACTTGTTCTGCTTTCAATTAAGCAGAATTAATATATTTGAGTCACACTGGAATTATGGAATTAGTTATAATTGTGTGCGATATATTATAAAATACTCAGTAGTTTTGACCCTGTTTCTCTGAAGAAATAGGGGCTTTCACTAAATTATTTTTTTTTAAAGTTTGTTAACAAATGTTGACAGGATGCTCCAATGACTGGTCCTTTCGCTCGAGAGAGTTTTTAGTCTCAACCGTAACAAACAGGAAATGAATACTCCGTTGATGGAACGAAATCAAGAGGAAGGCAGGGTGAAAAAAATATATTTCAAACGGAAATATGTTCAATTTAAAAAATAACCCAAGAACAGGAACACAGACTTCGGCGCTCACATTGAATTCAATGCTGTTGAGTGACATACACAATAAACTAAAAAAAGGGAAGAAATAGAGCCATTAATTTCGGCTATATCCAATACAAAAACCCTCTGATTTTATTAATACAAAAAAATTGTTTTATATCAATAAACAAAGAACAAAATATTTTCAAATGCAATAAGTTGCAAGTGTAAACATTTTCTATCAAAAATCTTAAAGTGTTTTTTTTTAATTTTCAACATCAATCAAGACAATTGTCTACTTTGAGACTTCTAAATATATATATTAATTTCAATTGCTTTTATATTAGCTAAGGTTCCTGAAACCTTGATTTTTCTGGCAGAGTATGAAAAATGGCAGCAGGTAACATCAACGGCTAAAATGGCGCAGTGGCGGCCAACAAAGCGCAAAACAAACTGCAACGAAATACGGCCAAAACAAGGAAGGCAGTGGGAAATAAAAGAGCCAGGCCAAAACGTCGCACACGTACACGAAAAGAACCAGCGAACTGAGCTCGAAAAGTTAACAAAAAATACTGACACAGACACAGAGACAGAGAAATGGTGGGATTGGGAGCCAGGAGAGCCATCATTGTTGGCCAAGTTGGCCATGACAGCGACCAGCCAAGTGGCGGCCATTGTGTGGCTGACTGGTCGGTTTGGATGACTGGACGTCCTGCGTCCATCGTCCATCGTCCTTCCTCCTCCGGACGTTCACATGAACACCATCGCCATCGCCATCGCCATGGCCAGCGGAGCATCCGGATCGGATCCCCCTTTCGATGGCAATGGGAATGTCAATTGAATCATCTTCACCGGCACTGGAATGCTTTACATTGCTTTTGCCAATTGAACCCTCGGAAAAGTGCCAGCGTTCTCGTGCCAGCGCAATTAGAATGCCACGGGTCAACACATGTCCTGTTTTAAGGGATATACACACACTGACCAAAATCACAATCTTATGACAGGACAACAAAAGGTTAGAGTCTTATTTAATAAAAAACAACTTATGTAGGCAATCAATCGGTTGATTTATAAAGTATATTGTTATTTTTTGTTGATTGATTACTATTAAAAATACTTACGTGAATGGTTAAAAGAAAGGGTAACACCCTCGAAAGTACTTGGCCATCAAAAGCAATCACTGAATCTTTATTTGGAGAACCAACTCTAGCAGTTTGAATGTATCTCTCTGTGGAAAAATATGAATTGCGGGCGGAATGCAATGGGTCGGGGGAATGTGTCAAGCGCAGCGCTGATTGTCATTCATTATGCAATCAATATTGATTGCTTCACGGCTCGCGGAAAATGTTGAAAAGTGACTTGCCAATTTTCACAACGCATCGCCCAAATGGGAAACGGCAAGGAGCGAAGTTGGAAAGAGTTTCCCCCGGGATACCCTCTCTCGCAGCAGTTTCCATTTGGCAGCCGGCAAGGTAATGGTATTCCCCGCCGAAGTCAGCCCATCTTACTGGGTATCCACCAGGTCGAAACCAAAACCTATCCCTGTCCACGCGTTGATGCTTTCCTCACTGACATTTTTCATGCTGTGTCGCGTACGCTGATTGATGAATGAATAACCGAGTCAAGCAATGAATGAGCCCCACCCATTTGAGTTTTTCAACCGTAAAAATATGTCAAGTGGACAGGCGGTGGAAGTTAACGCCCAAAGCGAAGTTCCAGTCGGCAAAATAAATGACTCTTCCATTCGGGATTCCTAATCAAATCACATGTGTGATTCGAGCAGCAGCCGTCCTAAAGAAAACTATTATCCCAACACGTTACAAAGAAAAGCCAAATTAATTTTATTTTTTTAGCATTTACTTTTCTGCATCTGCGACCAGCGATGACAACCGAAGAACATAAATCAATCAATTATCCAAGATATCGAAAGAGAATTTCCACTTTCTTCAGCTACATTTACGAAGAGCCCATTCGTCCAGGTGGCCCAGGTATTCCCGGATATCCATCCGGTCCTGGGATCCCCGGTGGTCCAAGCGGTCCAATTTTGCCTGTTAAGCCTTGAGGCCCCTGTGGTCCAGGCATCCCCGGTAGTCCATTGTATCCATTTATGCCATCTCGCCCTGGTGGTCCAACCATGCCCGGTAACGCAGGCGCACGCCTCTCCAAAGCAGCAACACGACTTTGCAAAGCTTGCAGTAAAGTGTTCAATGACCACGATAGCTCATCAATTTTACTATTGACTTGAATTTTAAACTCCTCAAAGTCTTGTTCAAGTTGCTTAAAAAACCGTTATTATAAATTATTATTTGATACAATTAATTTAAATTACTATTTACCGAATTTTCCCCATCAATCGAAACGAGGCAAACGCTCAGCAGGAGAGCACCGAGTATATACTTCTTCATTCTACGACAATACAATATATTATGATTTCTCAGTTGAATTTATATTGACTTACTTCATAAATTAGTTCTCTTTTTTATTAGAATCATAATAAACACATCTCTCGCTCTTTAATATAAACCACTGATAAGTCAAAATGTATTCGAGTCGCGCTCTTTAAATTTCTGATAAGCCCGCTTTGTTAATCTTATGGGTTGAATAAAATGAGTGTAATTCTTAATCAGTTATAAAACATTTTTGGATGATGGCTTTGCTTTTAATTATACCATATGTATTTTCAAGATGAGTCTACCTTTGAACCGATCAACTGACTACTTGCGTTGTTAAGAGATAACGTGTGGCTCTTAATGTGTTATTCTAAGAAAACACTGTCTTGACTTTCATTAATTTAATTCTCATTATAAAAGAAACTTGAAAAATTGTTGAGCTTTTCTAATCAATCAATTATCCAAGATATCGAAAGATAATTTCCCCTTTCTTCAGCTACATTTCCAGGCGGCCCATTCGTCCAGGTAGTCCAGGTATTCCCGGACGTCCAGCTGGTCCTGGGATCCCCGGTGGTCCAACCGGTCCAGGTAGGCCTGGTGAACCTGACATCCCGTCAAGCCCCGGTAATCCAGGGTGTCCATTGCACGAACATCCAGACCCGCCCCTCTCCAAAGCAGCAACACGATTGTGCAAAGCTTGCATTTTACTATTGGCTTGAAATTTAAACTCCTCAAAGTCTTGTTCAAGTTGCTTAAAAAACCGTCATTATAAATTATTATTTGATAAAATGAATTTAAATTACTATTTACCGAATTTTGCCCATCAATCGAAACGAGGCAAACGCTCAGCAGAGAACACCGAGTATATACTTCTTCATTCTACGGCAATACAATAAATTATATTTTCTCGGGCTCATTTTTAGCTGAATTTATATTGACTTACTTATAGACAAAACTATCGATTAGTTCTCTTTTTTATTGGGATCATAACGAATGCATCTCTCGCTCTTAAATATAAACAACTGATAGGTCAAAATGTATTCGAGTCGCGCTCTTAAATTTCTTATAAGCAAGCTTTGTTAACCTTATGGGTTAAATAACATGACATTATAAATCCTTTTTTGATGACGACGAGTCTACCCTTGAACCGATCAACTGATGAGCCTCGTTATGAAGAGATAATGTGTGGCTTTTAATCTGTTATTCTAAGAAAAACACTGTCTAAACTTTCATTTATTTAATTCTCATTATAAAAGAAACAAATTTATTTTTAAAATTGTTGAGCTTTTCCAATCAAGCAACAGTTCACATAATAACTTAAATTTTGTTTTTTTCCATTGTTCTCTGTGTAGGGATCTCCAGTTTCGAGGCGTCAAATCGATGGGGATTTGGGAATACATAGCCAACTGAAGCAGGCAGAATATATTTACTTATGTGGGTGGGTCGGACCAGCATTCACTTTGACAGTTGACAAGACACCGCTACACATACAATGCCAGACCGTCTTGGAACGACAGCAACTTGATCTTTTACATGGGTCGAGGTCCCCGGAGAATTAACGGCTAATTAAATTAGGCGTGGGCCGAGGGCGTTGTCCAAATGAGTTGAACACCCGATTAAAGGTTGGCATTTGTTACATTACAGAGAATTTAATAAGCCACTTTTAGTATTTTTAATAAAATTGTTTACGTTTTTAATAAAATGCATTTCCTTTTTAAATCAGCCACTATGGGCTAAAATCTAAGTCAAGAGTTTATGAAAAGCTAAGACGTTTCCTGCCACTGCTGCTGGAGAAAAACTTTCCCTTCTTCTTGGTCCTGCTGTCCTTCCATTGCATCCTGAAATCCTAGCTTATCGCTGCATTTCTCTACAGGGGAATAAAAATATTTAACACGAAACTAAAATTAAATTTATTTCACAAGTCATTGTATTACATTTTTTTTATTTTACTGAAAGATGTAAAAACTTATAAAACTAGAAAAATTAAATGAAATAAGAATACAAAAGTTGAGCAAAAAATTTTACACATTTGCTAAGAATAATAAATAAAGTGGCTGAGAAAATATATTTTAATTCTTAAAGTTTGCCGATAGTTTACACCAAATACCTAAATTTATAAAATATTTTCTTGTGTGACATCTCCGAACTTTTAATATTATAAAATTTTCCCCGTGTAGCCGGTCACTTTTCACCATTCCGTTCCGTCTGTCGTGTCGCCGTGTCCGTTGAGTGCATTAATACGCTTGCATAATACTTTAATGTCGGAGCTTGTCCCCCAGTTTTCCAGTCCCTTTTCCCAGCGCCCTTTTTCCAGTCCCTTGTCAGCTGACAAACGGAAAAGCTGCTGCCACTACTGCTGCTGCTGCTGCTGATGATGATTCTGGGTGGCAGAGCTGGGAAAACTTTTGCCGGGCTGCAGGAAGTGCAAGAAAATTAAGAAAATACTCATCGTTCTCAGTGCGGCGGTGGCCAGGCTATTTACGACACTGAGCATCGAAATTATACGCCCAGCGAGCGCTGCTCCACTTGGCCAAAGTAAAAGTCAACATTCAGAGCGGGTCTAAGCCAAAGGCGAGTGTCCAAAAGAAATTCCAAGTGTTGTAAAATGGCAACAAGGATTGTTGAGCAATTTGCCGGGGAGTATGTGCGTGTGCGTGGCTGTGCCCCAAAAAAGTTTGGCCCACACACAAATGGCCAAATGCAAACTTTGCCACAAGCAGCGAAGCGATCCAGAAGAGTTCTTGAGATATGAGCACAATTAAAACTTGCCGCAAAAGGCCAGTTGGCGTTGCCGTTTCTGGTCCCTGGGATATCTCAGAAGTGCCAGCTTTGAGTGATAAGCCGTAGCGGAAAACGGAGGAATTGCCGAAAGGGGGAGTGAATATATAGTTTTGGTGGACCCGAGAAATCGATTTAAGTTCTAAACTATTGGAGGGCATTTTAAACCTTATAGCTCCCAAAAATGAGAACACTTTGAACCCTTTGAAGATTACGTGTCGATATATACTTTCTATTGAATGGGCAGAAAAAATAGATTTACATTTTTCATTTACTTTTTAGTTTTAATTTAAACACATAATATTTTATATTTTAAAATATTTTTTTACAATTTTTCTCTATTCTTAGAGGCATTAAAAACTGAGTCTTCCTGAATTGAAGCCATTCTTTTTTACTTTACGGCATGTTAAACATTACATGATAACGCGTTGATAGCAAATAATATTTTTAAACAGCCTTTCCCAAATCTCTTCAGTCCATTTTAATTTTGGTAAGACTAGAGCCATTTCATCTCCCCTTGCCCTCACCCTCACCCTGAAATCAAAACTTTTGAAAAAGCCCTAACAAACAGAAAGAACTGACGAAATCATGGCCATAAACAGAATCAATGAGCAGTAAAGCGGCAATAGATTTGAGTTATGGTTATTAATAATGCTGTGTGAGCTGCCCCCGGCAAAGGACGAGATAACCTCGGAAACGAGTCGGGACATGGTGTACATGCGGCAATGCAGACTTGTCTGGGGCCAAAAACACAATATAATACGGGGAGATTCCGGGCTGCGATGGGTTTTTGTGTGGAGTTCTGGGGAGGATTGTGTTGGCCGGTCAAACAACAACAGGCAATGAACAAGAGTTAAGCTGGATGGCATCCTTCACAAAACATTGCATCGTGTGAATCCAATATAGGAGTAGATCCAAACCCCTCTACCGCCGCTCTTTGCTGCCGGAAATGCCTTTTGTCTGGCTTCATAATATTTTGCTCGTTACTTTTTAATATGACTCAAAACAACATCCGAGCTCCCAGACAGCCGGGCACAGTGTGTTTTTTGGGGGGGGAGGTTCATTGGGGGGACGTCAGGACCATACAGTCGGACATATTATCTGCTCTAAGCGAGACAATGCTAAAATCTATCTGGGAGTGAAAATTTTATTACCGTCCTTCGAGGTGGTGGGGGGAAGGGGAAGGGGGGATGGAGCAGTCTGTGACACCGTAATCAGTGCATGTCCTTGTCAGGGTGTCAGAAGATTACTCATAAAATGGCCAAATCTTTTGTCACCTTTTCGGGGTTGAACTTCAAGTGTGCTTCAGTGCGGTTTTTCCCCTCATCCATTAGCGTTTATTGCTTATGATAAGCTGCTCACTCTGTTTCCCCCAAAAATTGTTCATAAATTCAACTGGATTTTGCATCTGATGGTGGCTTGTGGCCTCCACAATTGTAGCTCCCCTCAAAATGGTATTTACGCTTACTCAACGAAACAGGAAAGAAATCTGGGAATCAGCATAAATATTATTACAAAATGCTTGACCGCACTTCAAAGTGCAAAGCCAACTGGGAAACATTTGCTGAGCTCTGCCCTGGAATGCTTATTCATCGTCCATATTTTCTTAGCAATACTCGCTACTTTTTGAGAATAAGGGTATATTCATGAGAATTTAGCCGGAACAACAATCAAAGCTTTAAGTTTCAAATATGTTTGAGCTGAGGCAAAAAGATGTATTTTCTCTCATTCCGTAAGCAATACGATCATATCAGAGATTTATTTGTCTCTGCCAATTAAAAATTATATTGACAGTTTAAGTGCAGGGTATTCAATAGTCTGACCTTTTGGCTATATTATTTTAAATATTGTTTTCTCATTGTGCCTCAGATGTCACCGGGCTTCAATCACACCTGTCGTTATCCTACCAACTACACCCCTCATATGGAATAACTCAGTAAAGGTATAATAAACAAAAGAAATTCTGACGTTTTTTCAAGACTTATTGGAAATTTGTAATCGAAACGCGTTGAAGTTGACATGTATTGAAATAAAAGATCTTGACACAATACAAAGTATATACAAAGTATATATAAAGAACGTTGCGCAAAGACGCATTAAAGACTTTATATTCTTAGGAATCATGACTCATTTCCGGAGCAGCTATAGGATTTTTCAATGATTAGATCAACTTCAGCTGTTAAAGTATGTCTTTAAAATACCGTCTAAATTATGATTTTTTTGAAGAAATTCAGTCCTTCAAAGTACTTATGAAACGACAGTCAAGATAAGAATATAAAGTTATCTGCAGCAACAATATAGCAGGGTAAAGGTCTCACTCAAGCGAGGTTTGCGCGAGCACAGACTTATTCTAATCAAAAGTATATGGCTGCATACATAAGTGACAATAGTTCAAAATTTAATACCACAGAAAATTTCCGTGAATTCAAAATTATCAAAAAAGAAAGCTTACTTCGTCAAACAGAAGTTTATATACACTTGTATTTATTAAAAAAAAAGTTATTCGTTTTTACACTTACTAAACCAGTTTCTAATAATAGAGTTTTAAAACACTACATTAATCAAAACGAATTTCTGAAATCATTGGACGCTACTAAATCTCAATTATGCGTATACCTTCAAACACAACAAAGTTATTCCGTATTTTCTTAATTTTTCTATAAATACTAAGACAGCTTTATATCATGGCCTTCCAAACTCGGCGGTTCCGAAATATTTACATTCTGCAGTAGAAAGAATTATTTAGAAAAGTTTTATCGGAATAACTTAAAAACTGAGAAACTACTTTGGGTAATACATATAGATGACGTAGAAAAAACAAATATATGTTAAGATATGATCAAGTCTTCTTTATTGAACGCTTCTGGCTGAGATTAGCATACCCTCTGCAAGGGTATAAATAAAATGATAAGCAATGACCAATGTACTTAAGCTGACATAACTTATGAGCTTATTTCAGTAAGTCGCTGTTTCGACGACTAGTTAGTTCGTTTTGGTTAAGTACCAGCTATGGGTAAATTCGGTGAAATAATAATTTTCATTTGTATTGTGCACCTCCTCTTGCACACTTCGAATGGTGAATGGGTTTGTATAAAAGAAAAAATAGATTAAACAAAAATATATTATAAATATTTGCACACTGGATGGCAGAATAGATTAAAAGTAGACCAAATTTTTAAATTAAAGACAATGTTTTAAATGCTGAAAACGTATTTACTTACTTTACTTACTTTTTATTAACGGCTAGGGTTTTCCTGTGTTTTCGATTTAATAGCAAGTTTTAACTTTCCTTTCCATAGTACAACTTATAACTATTTATTAGTCCAGTGTTCATAATATTTACGAGTGCAGTTTACAAACAACCAAAAAATAAAAATTTTTTCTTAGAATGACTTTGAGTTTCGCCTAAGGGATATCCTTTTTAAGATGGAAAAAATGGCAACAAGGATAGACAACCTAGCGGACAAGTTACAGGAGTGTAGATCCTCGGGTACTCATGGTTCGGTTGGACCTCCTGGCCCTCCTGGTCTTCCAGGAAGAAACGGACTCAAAGGAGAAAAGGGCGATACGCGCATAATTGGTAGTCAAGGTCCTATCGGTCCTCCAGGACAGCCAGGTCGTGACTGCTCTCCATGCGAAAACAGGGAACGAGAAGATATACCCTTTTTTGGCGGAAAACACCTCTCACAGCCTGTAATTATTTTTCGAGGTGGGCAAGGAGATCCTGATGTAGAAACCACAACAAAACCGAAAAAAGGAAGCCCGGATTATGATTATGCAAATTAATAGGCATCTGGTTTTTATTAAAGTTTATATCTTTATTTTCCACCCAAAACTTTCTTGTCTTTCGTTATTTTATAGTTGCTTTACGAAACCTTTGATGTTTCCTTGTAGCACCACAACTGTAGGGCATTTTCGTTTGTGTCACCGCCATTACTGTCGCCATTTGGTGTTTGACTAAAAAAGCGAACGGGCGAGGCATCATAAACTTGCCCAGTTCTCACACAACCCTATGTAAATAAATATAAACACGGAACGCTGTGCCCGCCCAACCCTGTATATATATAAAATACATTTTTGTTCCTACGCTTTATGCATGCAGCAGAGGGAAACATTTTATATTGCACACATATATTTTTCATAAACCGGGAAATTTAGGTCACCACCACGGGGTATATCCCATACAGCTGGCAAGATGGCAGCGTCGTCTGCTATTAAACGCTAATGCTGAGGCCCCACCGGGCGATTCCCCAGCGGTCAACGAACGGACGACGTCAAAGCGTCGTCAAAAATGAATATGCGCATGGGATGCGCCGGAAATATTAAGCATACGCCGCGTGTGTGAGTGCTCGCCGTGTTTATGCCGCATAGCGAAAATTACGAAAACGGCCACGCCAACGATGCAGGCCAGTTGATAAAGGGGGTGTTCTGGAATTGGTTTCATATTGAATATCATAATTAAAGAAGTCGATTTGGAAAAGCAACTAAAAATGGCAATCAAAGGTTTACCAGTTGCACTACATTTATCATTATTAATCATTGTTGCCAAGCTCAACCTGTTTTTTTTTTAGATTTAATGATTTTAGGAAATGAAATAAGAAACTGATTCTCTTTTAGATTCAATGATTTAATGAAGTAAAATAATTAAAAATACAATGATTTGATTTGAATATTACAAATTCTTGAGCACAAAATTGTTTGATAAACTGCGAAACACTTGAGGCGTAAGTATTATTTTTTCCTCAAAACCATTAAAAATGCACCGGAAAAGGTTTTCCGGAACTCCCGAGCCAACACACATGAGGCTCTTCGCGATTTCGTCGCAAATAGTCGGGGGTCTCTAAGGTTTCGAAAGTATGATTGCGTGCCTAAGCGCCGTCTTACGGTTGATAGCTTCATTATAGTGCCGTGTTGCAGTTGCCGCTGCTGTCGTTGATGTTGCTGTTGCATATTTGCCTCTTTGGCTTATACACAGAGAAAAATTTGAGCTAAAACCCATATTTTGTTCACTACGGAAACCACAGAAATTTAAATGTTCAAGTTTGTTTTAAATGTCGTTAAACTTCCTCGACTTTGAGACTCCACACTTTTTCTCGATTTATTCGACATTTTTATGCGTGAATAGTAATAGTTTTTTCTTTGTGTATCCCTTGCTTGTTTTTTTTTTCAAGTTGCAAGTGCTGATTATGGCCATAAGGAAAGGGAGAATCTTGGACTTTGCCTGCATTCTGCTCGTTTGCGTTTTTCTAATTTTAGTTAAAGTGTTTTGCGGTTGTGCTTCACCACTCCTTGCCTTAATTTTAAAATTGCCAAGTAGAGTTTTAGCCTGGCCTCCTTTCGGTTGTTAGCGCGCCAAGTGAAAGTTGCCATTTCTGTGTGCGCCTCGCACTCAAGTTTTATGGGGCTGCTTAAGATTTAGAAATTATGATTGGCGCGTGGAGAGGCCGAGCACCTTTATAGCTCAAACAGAAGGGAGAAGTGTTTGCAATTAGAATTGGGGTTATATTTTCAATACCCGTTATTTTATTCAGTAAAAAAATTTAAACAAATATAAGGACCAAAAATAGTCCTGTCTCTGTGATTTAAACAGTTGACTTATTTTTCATCAATGGACGTTCATTCCAAACCAAATAAATCCATTAACTAACCGAAACTAAAGCCAGGGGAAAGTATCTCCGGCTGGGCCACCTCTTCCTGCCCCAGTAAATAAAACAAAAAGAGTTAGGATCCACTTGGCCAGACACTCCCATGCGCATAAATTTCAATAGCAAATCCATAGATGGCCATGGGACTAGTGGCCGCTCCACTCTCACAGACAGCGGAAATTGTTGAGATTTATGGCGACGGGGTTGCAAAGGGTTGCGCCATATTTATTTGAAAGTAAGTTGCATCCCAGTTATCCTGCTTTCGGAGGACCTGCCTACTACTAACCGGGAGGAGCGAAGCGTTTCAGTTTTCAGTTCTGGTTAAAAACCCCAAAAGGATATTACATATCCTGTTCCTAGTCGTGTAAATGCCATTATAGATTGAATGTTTGCTCGGGGTCGAAAGTTGCGATTGCCTTTTTGCCCGTTTGATTTACGTTTTCCTTGCATCCGCATCCATTTTGTTGTCCTCAGCATCGCATGTTGCCTACTTCAAGGCGTTTCTGCCTCGGATACCCTTGTTCAGTGAAATGGGGGCTAAGAATGGAAATTATTATATAAATATATATTTTTATATATATATATATTTCCTTTTGAATATCAATTGATATTTTTTTTGAATATTCTTGTTGTTTTTAGAAAGATTAAAGACACCCTTCAGGACCTCTTAATTCTTGAGTTAGGCAAACCATATTAAAATACAAAAATATTCTTCAACAATAAGTAAAAATAAAGGGGAGTTATGGCTCTTTTTAATTTTTTTTTATTTTCAAAGAAACCTCCAAGAATAATACATCAAGGATATTAGAAATTCGCCAAATCTTTTCGGGCTTTAAATCCTGTTTCGTTCTTTGTTTCTAAGCTCTTGGCCTTGGTCTTGATCTCGTGCCCAGTGAGTTATGTATTGGAGTGCAAAATATGAGGCTATTAGAGGCTTTAAGTCCGCTGTTCATACGTGCAAGCTGCGCTTTTTCACACACTAGCTCTAACTTCCCCGCAAAACACGTTCTGGGCCGGGACAAGAGCATCATCATTATTATTATCCAACAGCTCATGACTGCGGCCATTATGGGGAAAGGAGCAGATGGAAGTGAAAGCAAAAGCGAAAGGCGTTCGACTCCCAGTGTCCTGGGTAGCAGCTCCTCCTCCGGTTCCGTCTCAAGTGACTATTCACAGTTGAAGATTTATTGAATGTGCGCGATGCTGCCAGTCTGGGTCTGCCTTTCCTATTCCTTCTGCCAGGGACTCTCTGGTGTCTGCTCCTGAAAGTTGGCTCTGTCTGCTCTTTGGCATTGGTATTGAGTGTTTATTTATTTTCAAGCATCATAAAAAATACACAGGCATACACAGAACCAGACAGCGAACCATTGCCAGAAAGGGACCTCAAACAAGGCCGGGATCCAAGGATGTTCCCATTTGTAGTTTCGCCCAGAAAAATAATTCCGGAAAAACTAATTCTACTACTAACTGGCTATTTTTTTTTTTGGTAAGCAATTAATATAAGCCATATAAAAATAAAAGTTTACAAATGCTTTACCTCATGGGTTATTTTTTTTTAGATTTATTTGGGTAAAACTCGATTTCGCTTTGTTAACACAGTTTTAATGACTCCTAAGCTTTTAAAATCTATATTTCCTAATATGTACTCGGTAACTAACCATTGCCATGAACGAATTAATTCTTCTAACAATTCTTAAACATAATCTATTTAATATCTAAATATTTAAGCTAGAGAACGTGTTACTCAGAACGGGCGATTCGGCAGACGGGAGGCAAGGACATTCAATAATTTTGTTCTCATTCGAGTGGCAGAAACAGCTGCAATTTTTACGCCATTTTATGCTGCCGAACCAAAGTGTAATTTGTGGCCTGGGAACTTTGTCTATTGCCTCGGTATGGGGGCTCCTTTTCCACAGCCTCAAATAGCTCTCTGCGATGTTGTTTTTGTCGCTGTTAAATGAAGCATTCGCTGCCGGAGTTGAAGATGTTTGCAATTTTTATTTCATTTGCCGGTCAATGAACATTGGAAATGTGTTAAGTGGCGCCCACTCCACCGCCCTCAACTTGTCTTTAATTGTCTACAAGTTGTCGGAATGGCTTTTAATGAAGTGTTAAACGATACTCCAGCTTTGCTGTGCCCTCCTGCGGTGCCGTGCCTTTTGGCTTATTATTTGGCACGACCTGAAATATTAATTTCAGTACGGCCAGCTGACAATTTCCCAGCTCGCCCTGAATAATTCCCTGCCGTTTCTTAGCGTGTTGACAGGGCTAATTACCATCGATGATTCTCTGGAAAAATTTAGCAAATTGTAACTTAAGCTGCTTAAAGTATGAATGGTTAGTGGTTTGCAAATGGCAATTTATGGCTTAGATAAATTAAACATACATTAAACATACAGACACTTGTGACTTTGCTGTTTGATTATAATCATTCTTTCGGTATTGTAGCTATAATTTAACAATTTATTTCTTGGTTATTTGGACTAAGACTCTTAGTTATTGGTACAATGAGTTTAAACATACTCTTTAGAGATTTCTACTTTTAACTTTTCACATATGTGACAACTGTGTCAACTCAGTCTGCTGCATTCCGTAATTGAACCACTCCCTGTAGATGTTCCTTTCCTTATATTTTACTATCTGTCCTTTTCAATCCGAGTTCTTTCTGAGTCGTCTGTCACATAATATGGACAATCACTAACCACGCAAGTGTCAAACAAACAAAACGAGCCGAAGGGCTGCTCCATCCCGTTGCCATCCCAATTTGGCCACCATCTGCAAGGGGCTCCGAAAATTTGCAAGCAAATCCTATTTTCGTATAAGAGGAGCGCACTCAAACGGGCGGCTAAAAAGAAAGCGAACGAACCACATTTGAGTGCTGCGGGCGTTTCGATGCTTCTCCTCTTTTTTTTTTCTGGGTCGTATGCCCGTGCACACATCAATCTCGTTCCAACTTTGCCCAGATACGAATCTTTCATTTTCGTATTTCCGTTCAAAATTTCGTGTAACTGAACTGGAACTTTAGAAAAAAGAGGGCACAAAAATAGGAATGTAACTACCCACAGACAGATAGGGTGGTTGATGGAGTTGGAGTGGAAGCTGCCTGCTCTTCGGTGCCGCATGGTAAAGTCAGCTAGCTCCAATATGTGGGCGGATACCATGAATCGACTGGATAAATTACCTTTTACCTATGATTTACCAAGAAGATTTTGCAGGGAAATAAAAAAAATTGTATGCCTTTAGATTATGATTAATTTGCCTACTTTGTTACATTAAAAGAAAGCATCAAGACAATGTTTCACAATTTGTATGCTTTTCTCATAAGATTTGTAACATTATTTTTCTATTTAAATATACACATATTACTATATTCTTATAATATTATGGCTGTCCCAATCATTGCTAAAATATCATTTAATGTATTTTTTTTTTCCTACATTTGATCACAATGCAACTTTTTAAACATATTTGAACTTCGTTTGAAACGACATTACCCATTTTGGTTCACGTGCAGGGTATGCAAAGTGGGCATCATTCACATCGTCTGATTGCCCTGGCTGGTATCAAATTTAAATTTCTTCATTTGCTTTTCGGTCCGTGTGCAAGTTCAAGTTTTTTGTCTGTTCTTCGTCTGACTCCTGTTTCCCCGTAGAGCGAAAATTCAGGTCATGTGCGACCAAAAGTAAGTGGATGCGTTCTTATCAGAGCATACAAATGTTTTATCTCGCTCGGCGCGTGTGCAAGCCAAATTCCACAGGGAAAAAAATATCAAAAAATATGTTATTTTTATGAGAAATATAAAATATCAATTTTGTTTGCCAGTCCTTTAGAAATTCGGTAACTTCTTTAAAATCAGTTTTTTAGGGCTTTGGGACTGATTTAGGACTTTCATTTGGTTTCGGTTTAAAAGAATTGTATCTTTAGTTGAAGTTTGGTTGAAAAAAAATTACAATGCACCCATGAATGTATGCAATAGTTAGGAAGACAGAAACATTAAAAATCTCTTTTAACCAAATATTCTACCAAAATTTGGTTAAAAGAGATTTCAGGGATTTCAGATCTTTTTAACTTTTAGTATTTATTTTCGACATGACTAATATTCAATGATATTTACATTTACCCCAAAATCGTAATTGTTTTCTGTGTAAGGACAAAAATGGGAAGAAGTGGCGGCTTGAAAGTCGCCTGCGGTTGCGCTCTCTTTCTCTCTGTGTCTGAGCGAGTGTTTTGTTTTGCCAATTGTCGGAAGTGCTGGTGGGGGTTGGGGGTTTGGGGGGGTCCACTAATACCAACACCAACACCAGCACACATGCACGCCAGTTAGACACTTTCTTTTTGCTACTTGAGCTTCCGCTTCCGTTTCCGCTCGCCTGACCCCCGCCAGTCCGTCTGCCTCACTTACTTATGCATAGCATATAACCTTAAACATAATTTTGTTTGCCTTTTGTGTTCTGTTGTGTCCTCGTGCAATTCTATTTGCCGCTGCTCGCCGAACCCACATTCTTATCTTTGTTTGCTTTTTTTCTTTTTCTATCAAGCGCTTCATTTTATCTCTTTGACTCGTGCCGAGGGTTCCTCGGGGAAAAAAACCCTATTCCTTAAAGCTCAATCGAAAAGTAGTCTTTAATTTTTGGATCCTCGCCATTTAACCCATTGTGGTGGTAACAATTCAAGTGTCAAAGTTTGCACTTGAAATTGTAATGGTCAGGCCCCAAAGCTTATTGGCCTGCTAGCCATAACAAAGGAATGTTGGCTAGAACTCGACCCAAAACCAACCACCACCCACTTCTCCCATCTTCCGCAAAGTTGAGCCCCGGGGGTCATACAATCGCACAATGTCAGACGAGCTGGGTTTTGTGAGGCATAAAAACAACAAAAACTTTGAATGAAATGCATGCCCCATTGACATATGAGTGGGCGTGGCACTCTGCTTTGGGCGTCGGTTTAGTTGGTTGCTGAGGAAATGGCAAATGCATGCGGCCACACTATATGAGCTATGCCCATTTCAAACCCCCCCTCCCAAAATCCAACAGAGTTTCATTCCCACAGACTCCCACTGAATCCATCTCTGTGCGTTGATTGTTGGATTCAAACATTTTGGCATGTTTCGGGCAGCTGAACTAGTTTTCACTTTTGCCCCACCCAACTAGGCACAGTGGAATGGAAGGTCAAATTTGTGCTGAAAATATATTAATAAAGGTGTTCTATAAAAGATAGTCAGACAACACACAAAGCCCAAAGAATTGGTGTTTAATCATTAGAAAGGGACTTCACAAAACTCTCCCACTATGTTCCTTATCACAACTAGCATGTTAATTAATAAAAAAGGTTTTTAATATTATGTTAAAATGTTGGCAACCACAAGATTAGACATTTTACTTTAAAAAATAATGAATCAATTTTAACTTTTTTACAAGAACTTTTTAAGCTTTCTGTATTTTAAAAACTATTATTTGTTAAACCTATTTAGTTTTTAAATAAAATAAAGTAATTAATTTTAAATTAAAGTTTTGAAAAAATATATTATGTACTTCAGTTTTTTTTACCTCGTAATACTTTTAAAATTAATACAAAACTAATTAAAAATCCCATTTAGTTCCACGGTTCAGTTGTCGTACGGATCGGGCTGAAATGTGTTAAATCCGCTATAAAAGCGGTTAACCGAGTAAACTGCAAATGCAAAATGCGGTTGGTTCACTTCGGTTCAGTTGGGCTAAGGCCAGGCTTGGTCTGCTCCTGCTCCGGATCCCACTCCTGCTCCTGCTCCTGCTCCTGCTCCTGCTCCTCCTCCTGCCCAACGACCATATTAAAGGCCATGCCAAAGTGTTGATGGGTCAGTTTCGACCGCATGCTGTGTTGTGTAGGCAATGCAGAAATCATTTTTGTGCATTTGATGTTTTTTGCATTCTTAGTAGGCCAGGAAATCGTTCTCACAGAGTTCACAACCGAGCCTACACAAATAACACAAGAATTGTTAAAGAAAAATTTCAATTAAATAATTAAAAAAGAAAATGGCATCAGACGAAGAAGAGGTTTTATTTGTGAATATTTTGGAATTGACAACTTTTAATTTTGTACTTTTAGGTGTACACGGAAGACGAAATGAACGAGGCTTTGTTCTTCATCAGGGAGCACGAGCTGCCCATGTCGGAGCTGCGCTATGCCCTCAAGTATGTCCGGATCCTGCACGGGTCGCGATCCCAGGAGAATCAGGTGGTGGAGGACCCGGTTACCCAGATTCCAGAGGTGGAGCCGCCGCTTTTTAACTGGGAGGACAAGGAAAACCAACCCGTAGTCCGTCAACTATGAATGATTAAAATGGCTTATGAGTTGTTTTTGATTTGTATTAACTACCTTCAGATATCAAGACAGATCTGAGTAAATGTTTGAAAGGCACTTGAATAGCTTTTATTTATTCCTTTGTGTAATTTATTAATTAAACAGGGCGAAGTAATGTTTTTATAGTTAATAAGTTATTGTATTGGATTTAACAACCTTTTAATGATAGCATGAAATGAAGTTTAATTGAACTGTAGGTAACGTTGATTATATCATCCTATCACCATGATAGGAAATGAAAATATAACTAACGTGACAATTAAAATTCAATTAAAAAATTAAAGTTTAAAAGTAATTGGTTATCTAGAAAATAAGAAAGTACTTTATTTTGAAAGAATTTTTAGTTATTTAATAGCACTTTAAAGTGTATAAAGTAACTTGCATTTAAATACTGTTTAACAACAAATTGTCTCCGGGATGAATTTGCATTTCAAAGTGTCCTCTGCAAGGGTTTTGTATTCCAAACTTCTGTTTTTCGTGTCCATTTCGGCATCTCTGCATTCAACACTCCAGCGTTGCGTTGCTTTTCCTGGCATTTCGCGTCGAGATGGACAATTTTTAATTGTCAAACGCAGTCGGGTGACAAATGAAGGCACAGGAACAGGAGTTGCACCGGAGAAGCCTTAATGACAGCTGATAATTTATTCAGCAAGTGCAACAGCTGAGCGACGTGCACGAATTGTTTTCCAGGAGCGATGAAATATTTACGCGGGATAAAGGAGCAGCCGAAGGAAGCCGTGACCTGCGCTCCTGAGATGAAATACATCCGCTTGTCATCGTCATGAGGAGCGAGTGTCCAGATCTGCTGTAAAATGCAAATGAATTCCCGGCAATTTCCACCCTCGCCGAGAGACTTGCATTTAATTAGGCATTAATACGGGTTGCGTTGGGTTGGGGCTGCGATTCGGCAATTCCAGCACTCTGCGGTTAAGTGAAAGTTGAGCTTTGGCTTAAGCCCTCTAAGCCGCGACTAAGTTTAATGTCCCGACGCGAAACGCTCAATTTGCATTTTGCATTTTCTTTTGAAGGGGTGTTTTCCGCATTTGCAACCCTCGCCAGCCAGTGAAAAATTTATTGTTTCAAACGGATTTTGCTGCGCCCCAAATTCGATTACTGGTAATTGCCTATTGCCAACCTCCGTTTTGTAACGGGGCATGACACAAAAGCCGGGCTTAATTGAATTAAAAGGCGTTGCAAAGCCCAAAAGCAGCCGGCGCCGTGTTCACTGATGAAGCTTTTTAAGCCATAAACTGATTAATCGCTTGAATTCCGGTTATGGGATGAGTGAATTCAGGGCTGTTGATTAAATCGAATAATTGTGATTGTATTTGGGAGGCAGGCATTCAGAGCAGATAATATATGGCTTACCATAAATATCAGGTAAAACGTTTTCAGACAGCTATGAATATTATGTTTTTGATTTTAAAATAATTTATCAACAAGAAAGGAGGGATGGAATTGCTAAAAAAAATACTGCTGTACAATACTAAAAAAACATAAGATTATATGTATTTCTAGATGCGAAGATAAATGTTTAAATTAATTTCCAAATTAGAAAGAGAGCTTTAAAAATTATGTTATAATTTTATACCTTTTTACACATTTATTTCTGCAATATTTCTCCATAAATCAGAGCAAACCATTGTGAAGTTCGATGCAATCTCGTCTGAAGTTCAAATTACGAGCTGTTTTGTGAGGACCGCAAACATGTAATAACAAATACACAAAACTCAATGCTCATTTAGACCCCAAAGGAAGCCTCTCCTATCGCCCCTATTTTGAGGGGGTTAAGCGCCCATTTGATGGGTTTATTATTGGGTAAATAAATTAAAATTGTTTACCTTTCAGCGCCGGCAAGCTTCAGCTCGCCAGAGAGGGACAGGGATACGTAGTTATCTCTTTCTGTATTTATTTGTTGTTCTCTGTTAGTCCAACGAGCGAGTATGTTTTTTGTTTTATTATTTTTACCCAGTTCAATTGCGGTTACGTGAGTACGCATATGTTGCGGCAACTTTATTTGCTCAAATTAATGGGTAAATGTTCACGCACACGATAATGGAAGAGGACGACATGGAAATGGGATGCCATCAGCATATGAAAATAAATAGAATTATGGGAAACTTATATCACCGAATGAAAATAATGTGCAAAATTTCGATTTGAATAATTTTGCAAACTGAAATCGCACGGTGTCTAAATATTTTGTTTAAATTAGTTTCCGAAAATACGAAAAAATAGCGAAGGCAATTAGAGAAGAGCATCGCTTTGAAAACTTTGCATTCCCATTTATCAATGGTCTACTAAGCTTAGTGTTCCGCTTCCTTTTATAAATCACGCAACTGAAAACATAAAAAAGGAGGAACACAGATATATACTATATACTACACATATATGTAGGAATGATGGCAGAAGACAAACAGTTGCGTAAACTATGCCAACTTTGGATATGCGAGTGGGCAACTCTGAAACTGAGAGATTCCCACTCCCGACCACCATCTCCTCTCGTCCAATCAAACAGTGAACTTTTTCAAGTTCTTGGCACTTTTTCCCCTCTATTTATTTTGATTTCAAATCAAGTTTTTTGTTGAATGGTCCAGAGTGAGCTTTGATTGAAATAGTTTAGTTTGTTTTGATAGTCATGCATACGAAAATAAATATTTTAAGACCACTCGAAAGTTAACACCTAAGGAAAATAAAAGTTTTTGCTACAGAAAATGAGCCTAAGTTTATTGATTAATTAACAATATTTTCTCGAAAATCATTTTTTTGCTGGAGATAAAATATTAGATGATTTAAAACTATAAAGTACTACTTAATCAACTTGTACGGCACATTTATTGTTTATAGCAATAAGTGAGTAATTGTAAAAGTTTTGTTTTATTTATTAAGTTAGTTCACCGTCTGGTAAAAGATAACTTTATAAGTACAATAGTCTTAAAATATTTTAAATATTGACCTTTTTACTTACCAAGCAAATTCAATTGGAAACTTTTTAATAAAACCCCAGCCTTGGTGTTTTAGTATCCGTATCCTATTTCCATGGCCTGACTCTCAACTATCCAATTCTCCTTGAACTTTTCTTTTGTTCAAGTAAACATTGGTGTTACCAATCCAATCTACCGGTTACCACTATTAAGTCGAACAGTGATGAGAGGTACTAAATTTATTTAATTAATGTATGTAGGTGGCACAAATACGTCTTGTTGATTCAGGGGTCCTTTATTCGTTTCCAAATTATGCGTGCTTAGCCTATTTCACAAGAGTGGAACTTATACTGATCGTACGTGCGAGACCGAGATAGACATAGTGTTCGGTTGACAATAGGTTTCGCACAAGATTAAAAGAGACATATATAGGATATAATAATTGTGGAACTTATCTTAGAGTATGTATTTACAATAGGATCCTTAGTACTTAAGTGTAGGTGTATATGTACATGTGTGTATGACTGCTTGCTACATGTATAATGATCTAAAATAATACCACATTATTGGTATATTAAATGGTGGTAATTAATTGACTAGTATATTAAGTATAGTAAGTAAATTGCAGCCTTTGTATCTAAGTGAGGTAAAAATCAAACTTGCAGTAGCCCAAAACTTGGCATTCTGCAGTCTGAGTGCCATAAATGTCAATAGACCAGAAACCATTATGCATAATAATACCCCCACTCAAAGTCGGTGGAGCGGTGCAGCTGCTGAATCCAAGGGGACTCCCTTCCCGGATCCCCAAGTCCCTGGCCTTTGTCCGATGTCAGCATTGTCTGTTCCTGTTCCTCGACTTCTGTTCTGTTCGCATGCTAAACAATATTTCTCCATTACGAAACAATGGGACGAGTCGCCTGTCCCCGACAAGTAGCACCTTTTACTTGTGGCATCAGTTAAAAGTTTTGCTTTTTATGTTTGCGCGTTGCAGTGGCAAGTTCCCCTCCATCCACTGTTTTCCCGTCCGGATCCTTGTAACTATCTCAAGTCGTTGCGGCAACTTTTGTTGCCTACTTTTGTGGGTTCTCCTCTCTCTCCATGTGGCAAGTTTTTGCTTTCGCTTATTGTCCGGCGTGGAAAAAAGTTTGGTTTTGTTGCTAAATTGAATGCGACTTGCGTTTGCTTTACCGCCGCTGCGTCCTTGTGTCCAACATCGTGCTGACGTCCTGCTAAAAGTCCTTGAAGGTGCAAATTGTAAAACAAACAGAGAAACGAGACCTCCCCAGCTGCCTCAAACAGAGATGGGGCAGCAAAGTTGACAGATAAAGTGTTGCCAGCGGATCGGGGTTTTGAGAAGAATTAGACTTAAGCCTGAAGGTGATTTCATATTCATTAGTTAGGTCCATTATTTTGTGGCGACCATTCTGTTTATGCAGCGTATCTAATAGACTTATACCCCTGCGATGATGTAAGAAGCCACATCTATAATTGGATTTAAGCTCGTAGGGGAACAACTGTGAAGTCACAAGTATTGCTAGTATTGGTCCTGTTCAGCCTGGTGGGAATGAAAACTATGAAAGTCAACGCAATGTGATGGGAAATCAATGAAGCAGCTTTGTTAAGCCGCTTTAAACAAAATTAAAATTTGCTTAAATTAAATTATATTAAATCACATACTGATTGTTTTGAAAATTTAAATATAGGTAAATATTTATCACTACTATGTACAAGTCATATATTTATATACCTAAAAGTACTTAAAAACATTATACAAGTTCGTACATAGACACTGCCTATTGCTTTTAATAATATAAAAAGTCGTAGGTATGTTTCCAAATCTCTCGCAAATAGTTTTCGGTGAGAATGATCAACTAAATACAAAAATAATAATAATAATACAAAAATTTGAGATCACTTTAAAGGTCGCACCCAAACCTCAAAACGCGTTTTCCCTCCCTTCTTGTGAGACAGGGCCGTTGAAAGCATCGAAAGGAGGACCAACAGTAGCAATACGTAATACTTCACTGTTGTGCCCATTTACAAGCTTATCTCCCTTTTAAAAATGCGATACAGTGAATTAGACATGGCTCACATAACATCGATACGCTTTATAAATTGGTTAACATTTTAAAT